CAGCGGCCACGGGGGTGAGGGCAAGGCTGGGGCTCTCCTGGGTCCGTGTTTGTCCCTGCACCCACACCCACAGCTCCACATGGCCCTGCTGTCCCTGTTTGTGTCCCTGCACCCACAGCTGCAATGGCCCTGCTGTCCCACAGGGTCCCTGTTTGTGTCCCTGCACCCACAGCTCCACATGACCCTTCTGTCCCACAGGGGCCCTGCTGCCAGGGACAGGGGTGGCACAGGGGGAGGCACAAGGGCAGTGGCAGCCCTGGGTGGTGGGAGCAGGGACAGGAGCTCTGGGGGAGGGAGCAGGGGGAGGTGGAGGCAGGTCCTGAGGGGGTCCTGAGGGCTCCTGGGAGTCCCCCCAGGTGCTGTGTGTCTGCAGCCCAGTGTGGCATGCTGGCAGTAGCTGGGCAGGGCCTGTTCCCGGGGGCTGTGGTGGTTCCCTCTGGGACAGGTGGTCCCCCAGGGCTCGCTCTGAGTGTGCTCTTGTGCCCAGAGATCCAAGCCCCAGTGCCGAGGCCTCGCCCCCAACGGCTTCCACAACTCCATCATGGCCCCAGTGGAGAAGAGCTCCAGCCTTACCTGCAGCCTGTGAGTGGGAACTCGGGGTGCTCGAGGCTCAGGGGGGTGGCAGGGGCAGTGTGTGTGCCCTGGTGCCACCCTGGCACAGGTACAAGGGTGAAGGAGCACCTGCCTCGGGAATGTCGCTGTTCTGCTGGGATGAGAGGGCTGCCAAGGGCAGGGGCTGTGCTGCAGGAGGGGAGGCTGTGCCCAGCATGCAGGCAGGGGTGCTGCTCGTGCCTGGGCAGGGCTGTGAGCAGGGGCTGTGAGCAGGGGCTGTGAGCAGGGTGCTGGATATGCCCGTGCAGGGCCATGGCTGACCAGTGCCGTGCCCTGCAGGCGGGAGCAGAAGCACTCGCAGTGGGAGTTCCCTGACTGGATCCCAGTGGCACACAGGTGGACGTGTCTCTCTGACAGGTACCCTGGGAGCAGGGCCAAGGGAAAAGTGGCTGGGGTGAGCAAGGGAACGGGTGGCCTGTGCTCCCACACCCCTCTGTGTGTCTGCTGTGGGCTTTGGGGTCTCGGGTTTGGCTGTGGAGGAACACGGCCAGCAGCGGGGCTGTGTGGGGGCTGGCATGGTGCTGGGGCCCGGGGCTGTGCTGGGTGGCTGGCAGGGGTGGCAGAGCTGCTCTCACTTGTGCCTGCACAGCGAGGCTGCCCCGTACCTGCCCGCAGAGGAGGAGTCTCCCCTGTTCTCCATCCAGCGCGAGGGCATCAAGGACGACGGTGCCTTGTACAGGCTGAACAGGTGTGTGACGGGGTGTCCCAGGACAGCAGGCTGCTTGTGGCCTGGCAGGCTGTCTCCTGCCTG